ATTCAACCTATTAAATTGTTTGATATGCATCAAATGTGTCTCTTCGAAGTTAAGTTTCATTTAACAGGAACAATAGGAGTCTTCTACTAAAGGCAGGCACAAGATGGGTTATGCACCTTGAAAAGCTATGTTTTAGGGTACTCTAGACAACAAACTTTCAGATGAAATAAAAAAAAGTTTAAAAAATTTCTTACAAGGTGACCACATTTAATGTAAATTGTATGCACATTCTAGTAGCACATTTATGTATGTACTTTAAAGAGAAAATCACATGAACACATCACTTACACTTGATAGTTGACTTTTCATAGTCATTGTTTTCCTTTTCCAGTTCCTTACAATGAAATCCTCGAACAGCACTGTTGTGGGCAGTATCAATGCTACAAAGGAATGTTATAGTAGTAATGCTTTGTTAAAAAGGTGCATAAAGATGAACAAAATTAAATATAGGTTTAAGTTAGTGACCAAGCTTGTTTGGAAGGTGATAAAATTTTTGTGTGTTTATGAACTGAGACTTTGTCAAGATCTGTGAAGATGTAAAAAGTAAACAAGGCCAATTACTCAGCATCTTGACTAAAATAAGATATTCACATGGCCAAGAAAGTTTGCTTGCAGGAAAATGCTTGAGGGAAAATCACAGACAAATAAAAATCCTGTCTTTCCCATTTGCCAGCCAATCACAAAAAATCAGGGGACTTTGCAGAGAGCCGAAAACAAGTCACTTCAAGTTGTTTTAAATGACAGAAAAGACCACAATACACAAGAACACAGGCTTCTCCATCTCCTCGCAGTTTGCTTGGATCAAAATGGCAGACTATTAAGCATTGTGTAAAATCTGTTTTTGTCTTGTGAAAGTATTGCTTTTCAGTCACAAGTAAGCAAAGCTTTAATTTGACCTGCAAATTTTAATGTGGCTTCTTGTTTTGAAATGTGCCACCCCTCTAGGAGGGACAATCTCTTAACTTTGGTTGTCCTTTGTCCCCACCTAGAAAGGGAAATTAAGCACTTTGATTACACCCTTTGCTGATGATAGGTGCATTTCCAAAACATTCCACAGACGAACTCTTAATATCCTGAATAGATATCTTTTACTCACCCTTCACTTCCACAAAACTAAAGTTCAACTTCTTGTTTGTTATGCAACAAGTGCACATCACCCTTAAATTCAAACAAAATTAATTATAAGAACATTAACGTTTCTTATAAGAACAGTGTATGTGGAATCAAAGGTGAAAAGTGAAATAAGGGAGTTAAGTTCAAATTCTAATAATATCATGGGTAACAAATTATGCTTACAATTGTGTGGTTTAAAATTTCTAGTCAGAATACAAGATGTTTTATTTACAAAAACAAACAACTTAGGGACAAATTAAGAAATAAATGTTTAATCATTTGTCTCATGACATAGAGTCAGGTTATCAAAAGTTTGACAGCAATGTTTCCAACTGCTACACTGCTAGTCTTTGTCAGGCAGCAAGTTTGAATGTTTACATGTCGCTATATGTAGTACTTTGGTGTTTTGTCATTGGTGTGTTGTAGTACTCTGTCCTTGGTGAATTTCAATCCTCATTATTATTCCTACTAGCAGATGTTATTCCCTCATAGGTCCGCTTTGTTACTGACCAGCTGTGATGCTTTTTAACTGTAGCCATCCACACTTCAGAAATTTTGATCCCACTCTCTCTATTGATGTTATTAGGGTAAAGTTTTATGTGGATGGCTTCTTAATCAATAATGAGAGCAGAATTTAAATTCCTTAAGCATGGATGCCCACAATCAAAAAGCATAACAGCTAGTCAGTAAAAAAGCTGAACTACGGGAGAACAACATCTGCTGGTTGGAATAATAATGAGGATCAAAATATCCCAATGATGGAGGGCCAAAATGTACCAATGACAAAACACCAAGGTGCTACATATAGCAACACATAAACATTTGACTTCGTCACCTGATGAAGAAGACTAGTAGTGTAGCTGTCGAAACACCCAATCAAACTTTTGATAACCTGACTCTAAATCATGAGAAAAATGATTAAATGCTCATTTATCTATTTAACCTCAATGAACAATAACATCTTCTTTAACTTAAGGACATTTTTGTAAATTATTACAGAAAAAAACAATCTATACTGAACTATGTGCAGTAACCTTTTTCAGTAGCTTTAAAACTAAATTGCAGAAGTTGATTTTCAGGCACTATTGGCAAATGATGTCTGACATTCTCAAAACTTCATACACTGGAGCAATCTTTGAGGCCGCCCCCCGAGTATTTATTATTCTCGGCTTAGTTTCAAACAAGCCATATGACATGCGGTATTAACATCACAAAGAAGGGAATACTGTCCCACAAGCTTAAAATACTTCCCATACCAGAATCGAAGCTTAAAAGGAAACGCCTATTGCTACAGTGCTGGAACAAAAATTTGCACAAACCTTTAGTTGCTTTGGAACAGGCCCACGGTGGATATTCTCCTTCTCGGTCGACTGAGGTTGGCGATCGAGCTTGTGTCGTACAGTCTATAGTTTCACTCAGTCTACACCTCAGCCACTTCTTTACAAGCGTTTTCCAGTTCCACGCTCAAACTGTCTAGTTTGGCATTTTGCCGCTTTACTATATCCCCCAGTTCTTTGATTGTGTCGAACAACTGTCGAATTTTTCGGTTTGAGACCACCAGGTTCTCCCGATTTCTAATAGAATCTTCTCGTAAAGGCTCTAGATGGGATGGAACTGCGCTTGATCGGGCGCCGGTTGATGAGCTTGAGCCGAATGGTCGTCGACTCAAAGTGGTACTGGTATTACCACTCCGGAAGAAAGATGCAGCCACATCGATGTCAAAACTAAAACCGTCCAGCGAAGATTATGTGACGCGTCCACTGGTCGAGCGACGCTTCTCTTTCCTTTCTATTTCGTCTGAGCAAGCCAATAATCTGCTTCTAGAGCAACCACGTGAGTAAGACTAACCAATAAGCGCTTTCTCATTGAATGTCACGCATTTGGTCGGCACGACTGTCGGCACTTAACTCAGCAGCGTATTAATCGATTACACAGAGTTCTTCACCAAGGCAGCATAATAGGTGAAAGTACGGATCAATTGAGAAGGAAATTTTGTGAAAGCTACGCTTCTTGGTTTGACGAAAGCTTCTATTATGATCACATATGTGAAAAGTCCAGTTTGCAGAGATTAAACGTGAAAGGTGAGTTGAGTTAATAATGAGGTTGATCTTTCTCAACATGGGTCGACGATAGTTGAAATTCCTGAAAAGTTTTCTTCAGTCCTCATAGTGTTTTAAGCCCGGGTCGCACAAGATATAATACTCTTGATTATTTGCGATGGTTCAAAGTTAAGCCGTTTTGAGAAAAGGAAGAATCTTGTTCTGCGCGGGCTGGACAGAACTGAAAAACCCCTGCGCATGGTAGAGACTCGCGCGTGGGGGAAACTGGGGACGACAACGTTAAACCATAGCAACACGTACGTGAAATGGTGGAAATTTTCGAAAAAAAAATGAACAGCGCCATTTTTTACTCCAGTTAAGACTTAGGTAGAACTTGCGCGCTTTAAACCTTCGCCAAAGACCGACTGGTAAGAGTGCTAAGACATATCTCCTGAACACAAACCAAAATTTTACAGCAAAAACAAGAGTCAAAGATCTCTGCTGGAACATCTGAAAGCATTACCAACAGTTTTTTAAATAGTAACTATCACCTGTAATATCAATTAAGCTCGGCTGTAACAGGTATTACAGGTTACAGCCCCTAACAACAATGCCACATGCACAGTACTTTTACAGCTCTGTCCAGGCTGTCTGTTATGGGCTGTGTTTATGTAATTACATTCAAAACTTTGTTGGGGCATGACCAGGATTTTTCTGACTTTTTCCTATGGATCAACATAAGGTCCACCAATCAATTAAATGTACAGTACTTCAGTTCTCTGCGGAAAATGACATTCAGATGTGGAAAAACACAGTCTGTTGTTTTACAATGTTATATGTAAACAGCTTGATGCAAATTGACCTTTTTAATAATAATAATTTTTCTTTATTTGCTTTTGTTTTACTTTTGACTCTTGGGTACACACATCCGTTTGTGTGTCAAGGTTGTCATTTTATACCCCAGGAAATACACCTGTAGCAATGCTATTGCATGTTGCTCTGTAAAAGGAGCCTCACTGTATATCAGCTCATTGATGCTGATCAATCTGACATTCATCTTGTGTTGTTAGTCACTTCTAGAATTGGTGACAAGTTCTACTGTAACCACTGCAAGAAAAGTGAGCAAAAGTACCTTCTATGAGCATCAGACACTATATGGTGATATTGCATGTGGATTCTCTAGTCAAAATTTGGAGCTTGAGTTAGACATGGACTCTGATTCAGAAAATGAAGGTGCTCTTCCTTGTTGGGATGATGAAGACAGGCAGTTCTTCTCAGAAGGAGATTCTAGTGGTGGTGAAAATGATGTAGATGATGAAATATTACCAGAGGAGTCCTCAGTGGAAAAACGAAAGCTCCATGCAATCAGAACAGCAACTCTTGGTTAGTTTATACAATGTTATTGGTTCATACGGCAAACTAATACAAAAAGAGCAGATCATAACATTGCCATCTCTTAATGACCCTCATAAAATGGCTTTTGCTCTTAAATCACTCTTCTTAGGTAACTTAATCTCTCATAAACCAATAGAAAAATGTTTTCTGGGGATTACTTTTCCAACTTAAGCTAGGTTTTACTTTTTTATCTTGGGTAAAAATTTAGATGAGGCAAGTGCCTCATCTTGCCTCAGGCTACAGTGTGGCTACTGCCCTGCTTTTTATGTGTAAAATTTCTTTTAGTGAAATATTTTGATATTCATTTTATTCACAAGTGATGTAAATACATGCAGAATGATGTACATGTATACTGAACCTTAAGTACTATTTATTGCTATTGTTTCTGATTTACTGTTATTTCATTTCAGGAGGATGATGTAGAGAACAATACACAGAACTTTGAGTATTCTCATGAAATGGAAAACAGTGCAAAAAAAATGTGGTCAACAGAAGGAACCAGGAAGTGATTGCACAGAACAGAGGGCTTTGCTTTTATTCTTACTTCTGTGGCAGGCATTGTTAAAGTTGCAGACAGGGCTATTGTTCTACTCTTACAGTTTTTCAAGCTGTTCTTATCTGGTATTGGTAAGATGATGCAAGCAGAAGTTCTTATTAACTTTGCCAAGATCATCCCAGAAACATTGTACATGATTCGAAAAATCTTGGCCTTCAGAAGGACAGTTTTATTAAAAATGCAGTTTGCCTTAAGTGTTAAACTCTATAATTTTGATGAATGTGTTTGCCAAAGGCCAAATGGTGAGGTTGTATCAGCAAAATGCAGTCATGTGAGTTATCCACGCCACCCACATTAAGCCCGAAGGAGGCCATGTGGTTCCGTTCTGATGAAAGTTATGAGGTCAAGAGCAGGAAAGACATTCTTGTATCCTAGGCAGGTTTACTGCTTTAAAAAGGTTACTGACTCATTACAAGACCTTATTAACAAGCCAAACTTCATGGAAAACTGTGAAAAGTGGAGAAATTGTTCCACTCAGCTGTCAGACAATGTTCTTGGAGACTGTTTTGAAGGAAGAGTTTGGAAAGAGTTTCAGTATGTGGATGGAGAGCCCTTTCTTGCTATACCAAATAACTTTGCTCTCATGTTGAACATTGACTGGCTTCAGCCCACTCTTCATGGTTCAAAATCCATTTGTGTCATTTACATGGTTGTAATGAACCTTCCAAAAAAGGAACGCTTCAAACCTGAAAATCTTATTGTTGTTGGAATAATTCCTGGGCCAAAGGATCCTAAGCATTATATCAATTCCTTCCTGCAGCCGTTAGTAGATGACCTTATTGACTTGTGGGATGGAGTTATCTTAGACACAAACATTTCTGGATCTGGGGAGATGTTCTGAGCTGCTATCTTAGCTTTTTCAAGTGATATACCAGCAACTTCGAAATGTGGAGGTTTTATTGGCCATACTGCAAAGAAAGGTGAGTGCTCAAAGATGCACTATAACTAAAGTGTTTTATAAAATTTAATAATAACTCCTTGGTTATTTTTTTTTTTGTATTTGTGTATGTATACCTACCAACTCACATGTCTTGGGAATCAAAAATAATCGATCTCAAGTCAGCCCTCACCAGCTGACCAATTCCTCACACCTAGCAGAAAAGTTTGAGCTAATACATCCTTTGACTTTTAGAAGGGAAGTGCTAGAGATGAGGTTGTGTTTTCATGTGTTAGGAAGTTTGGAATTGTTTGGGACTGCATTCGAAGTCTTTGGATTATCTCCAGATATGATTAGGTTCTCCATCAAAAATCCTGGCACTTGTAGGATAAAAATCTCGCACCCTTGGCTCAAAAAAGGTTGGCAGGTATATGTTTGTTGTGTGTGTAAATACATGCTTGTTGCACTGGCATCATTGTTTATATGGTGTTTTACTATATTTTCAGGATGCAGCAGATGCTTTAAAAAATTTCCAAGAGCATCATTTGGTGATAAACCTGATTTCTCAGGATTTGATAGAGAAAGCTGGGAACAGCAATCTAATGAAGACCATGGAGCATCTGCAGAGAAAGTTTGCCAAGCTAAAACACCAAGTAATGCCCAGAAATTTGCCTCTTCAAGTGGAGCACATTACTCTGTCCTGTTCCAGCTTCCATACTATGATGCTATAAGATTTGCACTGATTGATCCCATGCACAACTTGCCTCTTGGGAGTGCCAAACATGTACTTAAGACTTGGACTGAAATGGGAATTTTGAGTGAATCTGACTTGGAGAGAGAACAGAAACGTGTCAGTCTTGTTAAGCCACCATCTGAAATTGTGTGCATCCAAAGCAAAATTTCTGAAGGATTTAAGGGATTCACTGGTGACCAGTGGAAGAACTGGGTATGTATTTACTCCCTTTTTGCTTTAAAGGGAGTAATACCCAGTGGACATTATGGAATGTGGACAGCATTTGTACATGCCTGTCAACTGCTTTGCAGAAAAGTTATCACCAAGGAGGAGTGTATGGAAGCTGACCACAAGCTGATGCGATTTTGTGTAATGTTTAGAAGCCCTCTGCGGGAAGGAGAAGTGCACACCAAACATGCATCTTCATGGCCATTTTAAGGATGGCATACTTGATTATGGACCTGTTTTCTCCTTTTGGTGCTTCTCATTTGAGAGGTACAATGGAATTATGGGAGATTACCATACAAACAATGTTAATATTGGTAGGTATTAAACTCTTCTCTAATAAATTTTAAAAAATGAACATTAATTCTTTCAAACTGGTCTTTCCTCTCTTGACATTTTGATAGAATGCAGTCACACCATATTCTTCAAGAAATAAAAAAAATTTATGTGAACACTCAAACCTCCATATTCAAACATATATGTACATGTATACATGTTACATAAATATAAAAGTTTAAAGCAGACAGGCCATTAGGTCTGTGGCAACAAAGCACTTATACAGTGTAGTAGCAAAACTCATTAGCTTTTGACCAGACCTGAATGACTGACCGACCAAACGACTGACTGTCAAATTAAAAACAAATAATAATAAGTCCACAAAAGTATCACATAACTTTTTATTATTATCAAAATTTTATGGTGGACTTTAATTTTAACCTTGCACCTGCCAGAGGCCTGATACCCTGTTTGTGGCATGTTGCTTTGTGTAAGCCTTTGCATAATGCCTAGATGTATCAGAATACATTATGAACCATATGTTAACTGGTTTTAATCTTATTATCCCCAGGAGTTCAAATTATATTTCCAGGAAGCATGGAAGAGTTCCAGCAACTTATGGATTGTGAAGGCAAGCAAAAGGGAACTTTATTAGAAGCAAGTGTCCATGTCCAGCAGTTCTGCAACATGGTTGAATCTGAAACTGGCAGTCCAGTGAATGTTAACCTTAGTAAAACTGAGACTGAAGTACCACTACCACCAATCAAAAGGGGATGCAATTGAAAATGATGATGTGAGGAGACTACAGAAGACTTACGAGGCCATGTATGCTGGTGGTAGAATCATCCATGTTTCCAGCTTCTGTGATAAGTTCAAGCACCTTTTATACAAAGGATACCGTTGTGCAGCAGACTCAGCTTGTAACTAACAGCCTTTGATGACTCCAGTAGATCTGCTATCATTAGGGACTTTCTGCAACATGATGTGGTTATCAAAATGGAGAATGGAAAATCTCAAAAGATCACCCACCTTCTAGCATTAGTTGAATGGTATGCTAGGCATCCTCAGTGTAACAGGTATTCAAAACCTGTAGAGATTTAGGCGAATCATTTCGAGTCAGTTATTCCAGAACATGCCTTTTATGTGCCAGTGGGAAGATTCCAGTCTAGCTGTGTCTGTTAAATATCAAGTTTCACTTCTGCGCCATCAGCAAGAAAAAGTTCATGAAAGTATTTACCATTACCAAACTCAGCTAGAGTCTAGCATTATGGAGCTTTAATTTATGGAAAGGAAAACAGATTGCAGAAAGTGGATTTGGTGTGGGTACTTTCTCATTGAACATCTGCACATGATTGAATCCAAAACTGAGTCTCAAGATACATTTTCATTTCTAGATATTTACATTCTGAAACATCCTAAGTTGGATCATGATAAGCTGAATTAGTTGACAACAGCAATTATTTTGGTTAGAGACTGAAATAAATCAGTGATCACATAATATGACATGTTAGATTAATAAGAATATTGTATTTAGATTTTTATGTACTGTCACAATTCAGTCAATTTGCAATTTCATTTGATTGTGCTATTGCCAAAAGTGGTTTGCACAAGTAGTTCTTTTATATAGCAATAGGTACCAAATGTATCGCGTGATCCTGTACAACAGTTAGTGTTTAAGAAGTTATAGTATGACCTCTCATGAAATAGCTGTAGTTATTTATTTTTGCGCAATAAAATATTGAACCTTTAGTACGGTTCTTTAAGAGAAACCCAAAATATTGCTGTCAGTGTTTCATCTCATTTTTTATCAGTTTTTAAATGTTACATGTATTACAATCCAGTGGCTGACTGTTGGCCAAATTGCAATTTTATGCAACTACAATAACAACAACGACAAATTTATCGAAGTATTCCTAACAATACATGGCATTACCTATTAGTTGAGCTAAAGAAAACACAATAATGCTCGAATCATTTTACAAAAGAAGTTCCCAGACATTGATATGCCGTGAAGGATAAGATTGCCATCAGCAAAGCAACTGTTGCAAATTATTTCCAACTTTAATGTTCAAAACGTTAACAAATGGAAAGTCTGAAAAAAAACCTAATAAGATTAGAATTATCAAATCGGATCGACTGGCACAAAGTTACCTTTACATGAAATTACCATCTTTTTAAAAACAGAAGCTATACTTAACTCTAGTTTTAACACTGAATGCGAACGCGCAACAGTATAGGCACGTAAAGGTACCCCGCCCTAAGCGATAGGTAAAGGTGCGAGAACACACTGAAAAAATACATTCACGCGAACGCGATAAGCCAGGATAAGCAAAGGAAGGTGAGGATGCATGTGCGTAAATTGATGATCTCCATAATGTAAACTTTTTAAAAAACCTTGGTACTTGAGAATGGAAAAGGGCTTTGAGACCCACGACTGACGACACGAATTACCGAAGGATAATGAACTCCACGCCTTTTTAACTATAAAACTCTGAAGGGACAAAAGAGCACAAGCGTTTGTGGTTTCCAAGTAACGTGCTAAGACAAAGGTACACAAAATATATTCATTCTACGACAAAATATATCCGTGCAGTTAAGTATGAGACCCTTGATATTCTTTGGCGATTAACTTACACAGGGCATGACTTGTCATGCCCTGTGTACGTTAAAAAAAAAAAAAAAAAAGGAATTCTGATGGTTTTCAGAACTCGTGAGAGGTATATAGAAATATATAATGGTCAGAGAAGGGGCGCTCTGATTAGCTTGTCACACTCCGAATATTCTCAGTTTTTCACCGCTGGGAGATTTGCGCCCGAAAGCATTGTAATCGTTGCAGGAATAATTTAGTTTAAATAGTTAGTTTTTCATTCATTGTGTTAGTATACACCAAAACAACTACTTGCATCAGCATCATTAGTAAATATCTTCAGCGGTTTGATAAATATCTACCACTACCTACTTCCACTTCGCTGAATACTTGTTAGCTATCAAGAATTTTTTAAAAAGAGGACAGACTTAAACTCGAGCAAGTGGTACACCAACCAATTTGTTACGATGTAATTGTTCTTCCTTTTTCCTTATCTTTTTTTTTTTTTTTTTTTGGGAATTAAAGGGCATGCAAAACATCCCGCATGGTATCACGGAATTTCTGAGTGAAATAATTTTGAGTCAACGTAACTGAACGCTGGATAAGAGGTTTGTAAATCTTTACGAGATCGCTTAGAAGTTCCTCATAAACATATTATAGTTTGGAATGTATGGGTTGTCTCGACTGCAAGTCATTTCATTATTTGAGAACCGTGACCGGCAGTCAACTCTTGCAATTTTCAAGTGTCTACAAAGATTGAAGTTTTCTAACGATATCTTTTTTTTTAAGTTTTAAATTCAGTTTAACCGAGTTTTCAGTTTTTCAGTTTTTTTCAGTTTTATCTAAATGACAAGTAAAAAAAAACCCTTCGAATGTACATGTGTACTCAAGATTTACGGCAGTTCCGTTTGCTGTCCGCGATTTCAACTTTCACTTGATAATTTTTGCCAAATTAAAGCATTCACTTTTGTAAATTTAAACGACGACTCCATGGCAATTTTAATCCAAGCTGAGACAACTTAAACAAATTTTGTTAAAGGAAAATAGTGTACCGCGAGTAAACAAAATAGTTGGACGACGTTTGAATCAGTACAAACGAAACACGGCTCGATTTTGTTGTCTTTCGATTTCTCCACCTTCAGACGTGGTGTGGTCTAGTAACGTTATTAAAGAATTAAAAGTTAAGTCCTAACGATGAAAATAAACTTCACCAGTTAAAATCCTACAAGTGAATTTATTTTTCATCATAAAAAAGCTCCGCAAGACAAGTGATTTCTACAAAAGCTTTTATGCACAGACTATTATGAAGTATTCTTCAGTAGCATGTCATTGTTTACAAATTGTTTTCGCGTTCTCTCAACATCCCAAGTGGCTTACATACGACGGCAAAGCGATGCTTAGCTATCCCGGAGTAATACACGCGAGATTTGCGCTTGTGATCGTTTCAGGATAATAGGAGTTATAATAATCTCTTTGTGCTAAATTATCTCACTTTTTTCGCATATACTACGAGTACGTTTTGGTAGTGGGGTAAGGCTAGAACCAAAGGAAAAATTGAACATGTTCTAGCTTCGCAAATCATTGAAGGTTGGGCAAACCACGGTCTTTTGTCACGCTCAAGACTATAGATTCCTTATTTTCAGACAGGTTTTGTGCCTTTCGGTCCTGGATTTGCATTGAATTTTGTTGAGAGGATTTGTTTCCTTTCTTCACGTTTCACGTGAAAGGCTTTTTTAATCAACTTAAATTTTGTTGGAGAAACTCGTCAATGCAAAGTCGTTCACAACGGATTCAGAAAAAAAGTTTTTGCTAAAAGTTTTTTTTGTATGAGGCTACTTTCATATTCTATTTTACACTACATCTTACGCTTTTCTGTACATAAAATGTACTTTTATGACCTCAGAATCTCT